ATTAATTTAGTATATACAAATCAATAACAATTTTTTTAGGGTGATGTTGCACAAAAAAATGTATATATAGATTTGAAAGAACTATTCAATAATGTAGTTTCTAAATTAGAAGAAGACTATGAAATAATATCACCAATTAAAAATAAATTTCTGATCATTTATATAGCTATTCTTGATGAAAATTCACTTGAAAACTTAGTTAGACAATGTAAAGGTAGTAACTTTAATTTTTTAACAAATAAAATAATAAATAGTATAGGTATATTGACATTATTTTATAAATTTCTAGAACTTGGAAATGATTTAGACTTCAATAAATTTATGGACAAATTAATGCATTATATTACTAATGATATACACATTACAATTGACCAAAATAGAGATATCTTTCTGAAGAGTATGTTCAAATTCTATTCAAATGGGGCTGAATCTATTCCCGTATCAATAGTTTTAGATATGTTAAATTGCGAAAAAATTAAATTAGACAAAGAAGTGTCCAATGAAATTATCGTTTCAACTCGCAGTAATCATGATCAACTAGATTATCAGAGTAATAAAAGCAAAAATTTTAATTATTAAATGTTTTAATAAATTATTCAGGTGTAGAATATTATGTAATTAATGATTCAGGAGCAGAAGTTTAGCAAATTTTAAGATATCAATTATTTCAATTTTTATTAATCAAAAGACATTTTTTCCTATTCATATATTCTATATAATATTTTATCAAATTTTATTAATAAAGAAAAAATATTCAGGTGTAGAATATTATGTAATTAATGATTCAGGAGCAGAAATTCGGTAAAATAATCTGTTTAAAACACCATTAGTTCAATTTATTTCAAGTACAATATTTTATCAGATTATAACTAACTATTAATTACTACATGTGTTATGTTTCAGATTTTTCAGAAATAATGAATCCTCAATTAGAAGCGTATTTTGAATTTTTTTTATATAATGTTGAATTATGAAAGATATAATTACAGAAATAAATAATTTATGAAAATAGATGTTTATTTATTTTGTCTTATATCTTAGAAAACGATACTATTTTAAGAAATAGGAAATACATTTTTTTATTTTCATTAACAGTTTTTGGAATTGATTATTTGATATTGTTCCACTACAAATTACTTTTTAGAGCTTTGGATACATTTCTTAAGTATAAGCTTTTTTTTTTAAATTAGATCTAAAACATAGATTGAAATACTTCAATTTAGTCAAAAATTAAATAATAATGAACATTTTATTTATAAAGCAAAATCGGCTATCTCAATTTTTTGTACATCCCTAATAATGTCAATTGATCATAATTTGATTCAATCATATGCAGTCTAACACTTAATGATTTCGATATTTACAATTACACAGCATTTATAATAGAAATCATAGTCCAACCAAAAGATATTATAATTTTTTAATTCAAAAACAGTGAATCTAATATTTTTCTATAGTATTTAAGTATATATTTCACTCAAATATGACACATATGTATGGTACATATTTTAAACTACGTCATAAATATTGTTTTATAAAAACAAAAAAATCTAATTATTAGACCCAAAAATATCACAAATTTTAAATTGATAAAATGTTTTCGTGCAGTAAGCTGTTTTTTAATTTTAATAATACCTAAAAATTTTAAATGCGTGTGTTTAATCAATCTAAAAATATAAGAGAAAAAAATAAAAATAAAATATCTTAATGCTTAAATTTATCATAAAATTTTACACTTGTAATAATTTTTTATTCCATTATTTTGTAATATTTTCAAATAGAATAACAAATACTGTTTAAATAACGTTTATTAAGAATAGAACATAAAAATTACAAACATTTTAAAATAAAAATATGAATATTCTAAATATGAGTTAACATGAGTTTTTTTTTTTTTTAATTAAAAATTTGAAACAAAATTGAGTATAACATTGAATGTCTTTGAATTAACTCAATTAAAAGAATAAAAATTTTCATTCCTTTTGATATTGAAAAATAGAGTATAGAAAAAGCGTTTTCACCAGATACGTAGAATGTTAATTCAGAGACATTTAAGAATAATATATTTAATAACAGAGATTAATAAGCAGAATAAAGTATAATTATGATTTGTCCAACATACATTTTGGATTAGGTTCATATATTTCAGTACGTCTGTCCAAATATACTTTATAGTCATTACTCAACAAATGTGTATGACCTTTAGAAGAGAGTACTTTATCTATTGAAGAACTGTGTTCAAAATACTTGAAACCACATTTTAATGTACTGAGTTTTCCATAGCGATAAGTGCTGTCAAATATTTCAACATTCAAAATTTTACCAAATTTGGAGAAGTTTTAAGTGATTTGTTCATTTGTTGTTGAAGATTTTATTCCTCCAACTTACAAATAGTTAGCTTAGTGCATAGGAGAAGAGTTTTTAGCCGTTACTGACAATATACGATTTTTAATACGTTGTCTAAATACTTTTGTGCCCTTAGGTGCAATTTGTTCAAAATAGTCGTCCAATTTACGCAAGTCTATAGCAAGTTTCGATACAACATTCTTTTTAATAGAAGATTTTTTATCAAAATCAGATGCCAATTTTGTTTCGACTGCCTTGTTATCGATTGCGATATCAGTTGCTAATTTTGATGGATTATTTATATTCATCTGACAACCAAATACCTCAATAGTATCCTTAATTTTAACCTCAATGTCAGAGTTAGCTGCAACAGCATTAAAATTAATATTCTCTAAAGGCTCCTCTTCATCTGTTACACCTGTGTTTTCAACAATCACTTTGTTCTCGTTGAGAGACAAAACACTATTTGTTAAACCAAGTTCAGTTTTTATCATATTTGGTGTTTTAACATCAAGTTCATTTTTAGTTTTGATCGCTTCATAATTAGGTTTTTCTTTAAAACATTTACGACAAAACTCTATAATGATCAATTCACATAACATGTACAACATCCAAAGTATGACTATCAATATGTAACAAATAGCTAGAGACCATTGAAAAACTTTTAGCAAAATATCTTTCAAGATTTGTAAGTAGCTTCGAAACATTTTATATATATATTTATAAATATAATTAATCGTGTATAATTATTTATAATATAATTTATTTACAGTTAAAATTTTACTTTTTAATAACGCAACACAACTTAATTATTGAATTTCGAGAGCAAACTGAATTATATATTTTAATCTAACTACCTATTTGTTGATGTAACTATAGATACTTATTTTGGTTGTTATGTTTTATTTAACAAATATAAGTGACCAATCTTTAAAAATAAATAAATTAGATTGAACTTATGCAATACTTGTTTACATTATTATTATTTATAATTATTTCAGCAGGAATAATTTGTGCAAGTTAAAAAAAACCACCTAACTCTTCTTTTAAATACTAGAACAATGTATAAATGGAGTATTTGGTGGGAAGTAGAGAACCAGATATTCAATCCAAATTGAATATCTGGGATAAAATTTTACAATATAATATTTATTAATTTTTTTTTTTGTATTTATACTATAAATTAGTAAAAGATTAACTTTTTATGGGATCTTTTGTGTGACTGCAGCTGTATTAGGTCATATCCTGAACCTTTGCCGTTATAAACAGTACTAATATAATTACGCACCTCGACAGGAGATATGTCATTGAGAGGAAAATTCATAGGTAAAGGTATTGAGAGTAGTTTGTTGAGAAAAAAAATGTTGATATCATAAAATGTTATATAAAAATCTCAGTGAGGTGTGTATAAAAAGTTAAACTTTATTGTATTATTATTTTTTTATTTTAATTATTCTGTGCGTAGTTCTTATAGCAATTATTAATTTTAAAATAAGAATGTTTACAATTTTTTATCAAAAGAAAGTCTTGTTCTTCTCCATATAGTACTATCTCTCCGTCTGAGAGTAATTAGATACGCGCATGCTAGGAAAGTGATATAAAGTACGATGGGATAATTTTATTTGATATTGAAGATCAATTTTGGGCAGCTGTTTGTATTAAAGAAACTAATAATTGAACTATAATTGCTTTCTCTATATCATCAATTTTTTTAAATAAAATGATGAGATCGCTGAAATTGTGTTATGTTAATAAATACAAACTACCGACTAACTTTACTTAAATAATTATTTACCAGGGTCTATGTAAATAAATTTAAAAAAAAAAATTTTATTTATAAACCAGTTTATAATATCATATTTTGGTTCTCCTTATTATCATATTCAGTGGTGTAGACAGAGGTCTAAGAGAGCTATGCCCCTCCTCATTAACAGCAATATTATATCTAAATATAGAATTTTGTAGATTTCTATATTATATTATACAATGTCTGCAACACTGATCGTATTAAATATAATATCAATATCAAATATGTTTTAGTTGTAATAATAACCAGATTGAATTTTATCCCTGGTATATAAAAGGTGTATAACTGAGGTGTGCATCATATGGTTTAACTGGAAAATTTTGTCTATGAGAGCAACAGTTGATCTGTTTTTTTTTCATGAGTTAGAACCTGAAGGAGAGTTTCTCTACCAAGTGGATTTATCTTCCACCTCACCCTCCAAAAGTTTAGTTTAATCCAAGAATCGTGACTGAAACCCATAATGTATATTAATTTAAATTGTTATAAAAAATGTCTCATGGTTTGGTTAATTTATTTTAATTTTATCATATATTTTAACTTAATATATTTGTGTAATACGAGTTTATTGTAGAAAACACAATGGATTACAAATACAGGAAGCTAATTGTTTTTTATAAATAATCTCTATTACAGAGGACCATTTATTGTCATTTATGACTTTATCAATATATATGCTTTATGTTTTATCAGTTGGTGTATTAATAAACTCACAATAATGTTCCTTACTACTATAATAGTAGTAATAATTGATAATAAATGCTACGTTTCTGCAAATATCGATGTTATATAAAAACATTTAGCTATCTTTATTGTAATCCCTCATTTATCATATGACATGTACATGTATATTAACTCAAAAATTTGAAACTTTTAAGTTTTATATCTAATAAAAGAATAATGCTACATTAAAAATTCAAATACCATTAACTATAAAAATAAAAATTGTTAAAAATTCAAAATAATGAGATAGCCGATTTTGATTTTTAAATAAATCTTCAAACGTTAAAATATCAATAAGTAATAAAACACTGTTTATCTACCAGTCAAACATTTATTTAAACCATTTTCCATATAATAGTAAAAAAATAATTATAGGTCTTCATTTAACTCTCGAAAGTTACTCCGAAAATATATTTCTTAGAAACCATTATTTGTAAATAAACTTGATATTTACTATGGTTTTAAAAGATTAATTTAATTTTAACCTATAAGTTTTTATAACAAAATTATTATTTAACAAAATATAGAGTTTCATTCTGATAAACCGTACTGTAGAAAATAATAGAAAAAAAAAATAAAAAACTATAACAAAAATCTTTTTTTTGGTATTACAAATCACTTTAAAAGTTTTAATTTTATGCAAGTTTAAAAAATTCATGAATTTTCAGGAAAATTATTAAATGTTGGACTGAAAAAATGATGGCTATGATAATAAGTACTTTTTTTTTGTTTTGTTTTCAACCGTTAGGTTGGTTAATTCCAATTAGATTGGTATATCCTGGGGAAATTTAAATGCAGTGGTTTCCCGTTGCCTTCTGCACTGGGAACATGGTGCTTTTTGGCCACCGTAGAAGCGCACGTATGGTCACCCATCCGTTCACCTACGGCAGTAGGTGCGGAGTTTTGTCAACAACTAGTGTGACCACCGCGCCACACCACGCCCAATAAGTACTATGAAAGTAAAATATGAAGGTTGTTTTATTCAATCCCTTCCTGTGCTTAGATTTTCAACTATAATTTTTCTTTTTATGACCTATTTATGAATTTACAGGATGTCCCACCTTGATTTACTAATTTTAACATTAAGTTATATAGTCAAATTAGTATAACACGGTGAGACATTTTATAAATAGGTCATTC